CTGATCAAAAGGCATTCTTGTGAAATAGAAAAACATTTCCCTATCCTGTAATCTCATTTCATCCATCAAATTATGGTAATCTTCCTGCTCTTTTCTAATATATTGGTCACACCCAATTTTATTAACAGTTATTCTTCCTAGTTTCTATTAAAATAAGTATCAACTAGACCTAATATTTACCTACCTTCTTTTTCGATAGCTGATTTTTTTATTTGCCCTATTTAAAGCAGATGAAGCCGCAACAAGTAAACAAGCGCTTTCAGTGAGAATTATTATGTGTTATGTGTGATACGCTTGTTTCCTAAATAGAAACAATTACAACTATGCATTTCAATTTTTTGTGTTTTCGTTTGTTTTGTTATGTTACTTACGTTTAGTGAACTTGAATGAAACTACAGACTATGGTTGGCTGCATGTATTTTATTGAATTTTTTGTATAACGTTGGGCTAGGTTAGATTGTGATGAAATAGGTTTTAAGTGCCAATCGATAAATCCACTGATAGGGATTTGGGGTGTATGAAGTCAGGGGGTCAAAGTAATGGAAAGTTAAAAAAAAAACTAGTTCAATAAAAGAACTAACTGAAGGATACTATTATTTGATTGCTTAGAGTCAAATATTTCGAGCGTAGTGTAATGTTCGTGGGTTTAACAAAACTATTTCTAAGACTGATAATGACAAAAACTATTAATTACACTAATGTTGATATATCACTATTCACTGTGCTATTTATTTCACTGCTATCACTGTCAATTTATTTCTCGATTCACTTCTGCAACGGTCAATTTATTTCTTCCTCTCTCGGCGATCGTATCTTCCTTTAAATACTCTTTTGTTTACTTTCGGGAACCTTCTGGAAACATTTTTTATTTTTTCTGTTTAACTGCTTCCCCAGAACGCAGGTACGACACACACCTTTACAAAACGGCGCACATAGTCGGCAAATCGATAAGCCGTTCACGCACACGTGTGCCCGATAGCACACAAACACACTCGTGCTCGCTACACTGCCCCTCCTTAAGGATGTTTCACTTTCCGTTTCGCCGGGTCATGCTGGAATCTGCAGTTCTCGCCTTCACGACATCTGTTCCGGGAACAGAAGTAACAGTCCACGGTCTTCTCATGATTAGTCCGGTTCGGGTTATTACTGCAAACTAAAATGTCAATTCCAGTATGGCGGAACAGGAGCTCGATCATGTTCTGTACTATCCTCCAATCTAGGTTGTCCAGTCCACAACCAAGCTTCGGAATCATCAGCTTCTGTAGGTTATTCTCAAGAAGATGTCCGCGGAGTTCCATTACTGTGTCCCAAAAGTCTCTATAAGTTGGTTTATCAGAGCATCTTCCTTTAGTTATTAGGTAATAAATTTTGCGTCGTCCGTCAGGCAGACAACACAACACAATGGCCACTAGATGATCCATTATGAAGATACTGCAACACCTCTCTAACCTTGTTTCGAAGAATAACCAGTTGCTTCCTATGTTCTTCTCCATCTGGACTTTCAACAACACGCTTTAGGATGCCACCCTCAAAACCATTGAGTCCCACTGAACCTATAACGATTTAGTACTTAGGTACAGGAAGAAACTTGCTGCCACGTTGGCCGTTTTCCGTCTTTTTTCCATTCCATTATCTTCTTCAAGTCTGGGTCGTTTTCTTGGTCGTGTTTTCTTCTTTTTTCAGGAAAGTGTATCGGCATTCTTGTGTCCGGTTTCAGGCCGGTGCTCTACGTCAAAATCATATTCCTGTAGTTTCTCAATCCATCGAGCTACCTGGCCCTCCGGATTCTTGAAATTCAAAAGCCACTTTAAAGCTGCATGATCAGTGCGTAGGGAGAATTTTCGTCCATATAGGTATTTACAAAAATGTTCTACACACCTTTCACTACAGCCAGTATCTTTCGCCTAGTGACACAGTAGTTTCTTTCGGCTTTTGATAAGGTCTTGCTAAAATAGCCGACTACCTTCTCTTGGCCATCTTGTAACTGCGAAAGAACGGCCCCCAGTCGCACATTGCTGGCGTCGGCGTCCAAAATGAACATTCAATTGGGCCGAGGATATACCAGAAAGGGGGCTGTGATTAAAGCCTGCTTCAAAGTCTCAAATGCCGGTTGACAATACGAATCCCAATGAAATTTGCGGTCACATTCGGTTAAACGTGTCTGAGGTTTGACGATATTGGCGAATCCATAAACACAGCGACGATAATACGTGCACAAACCAAGGAGTTTCTTATGTCGTGGACATTTTCAGGTACTGGCCATTCCTTCACGGCCTTTATCTTTTCTGGATCCTCGGCCTCGCCGTTCGCTGATACAACATGTCCCAAGTAAGAAACTTCCTCGCAGAAAAGGTTACACTGAGTTTCAAATTGGCCTCGCGTAACCGCTGGAATACCGCTTGCAAATTCTGTAGGTGTTCTTTAAAGGTGCTTTCAATCACTATGTCATCCAAGTATTCCAAGCAGGTCTTTCCAATTTAATCACTCAGGATTTTCTCCATCAACCTTTCGAACGTCGCTGGGGCATTGCATAACCCGAAAGGCATAACTGTAAATTGCGATAGGCCCGTGCCGATCTTGCATCTAAAGCAACTTGCTAGTATCCGCTCTTCAAATCGAGCGTGGAAAACATTTTCGAAAGCATATCCAACGTGTCATCAATCCGTGGTAGTGGATAACTGTCTTTCTTGGTTACGTTGTTGAGCTGTTGGTAAGCCACACAAAAACGGGTTGTCCCATCCTTCTTTACCAATACTACCGGCGATGTCTATGGACTTGAGGATGGCTCAATTATTCCGGTCTCCTGCATTTGGTGGATTATTCGCTCTGCTTCTTCCTTCTTGGCTAGGTCTTTGACGAATAGGCTGCGCATTACCGGTATTTATTGATCTTGTGTTTTACGATATTGGTCCTTCCCCTACCATTCTTGTCAGTGTCAAAGACGTCGGCATTCTGACAAAGTAGATGTTGCACTTTGCATCTCTGCTCACTGGTTAGATTCCTAAAATATTTGTCAATCACTCCACTTATTTCAACAGGCACTGTTTCAGAATTTACCTTTCGGGTTACAGCCTCCTGTCTATTTTGATGAAATAGAATTCTTCACCATTCAGTCTCAGAATGCGTCTTCTTAAATTCATGTCAAAATCGTATTTTTGTAAAACGTCCAGCCCAAGAATTACGTCATCTTTAGTATCTGCCACAAGCACTCGATGGTCAAAGACAGTCTCACCGATTTCAAGTGATACGTTAGCTTCGTCATGAACAACCACTTTTTGTTCAGTAGCCGTACGCAGAACCCACTTAGTTGACACGATCTGGTTAGAACCCTCGACTACGCTGGGCTTTACTATGCTTCTAGTGGCCCCAGTGTCCAAAAGAAACACGCATCTTCGTTCCACTTATTTTTCCATCTAGGAGTAGACTGTCATTCTGGTGTTTCAAGGTCTTTGTAAATTCGATAAATTCGGGGGCTTTTTGTCCGTGGGCCAATGTTTACCCTGTTACGTCGACTCTATCTGGTTTTCCTGCTGTTGACGTCGAGTACTTGGGAAAGGAGTACTTTTCCTACACTGCCTCCTCGTATAACTTAGTTTGCCGCAATTCTTAGCTTTCGAGTTTCTTTATCGAACTTGGAGATGATTCGGCAGACGGTTTCTTCTAAAGATTCTGATGAATCCGTTTCTTCACACTGTAGCCGAATCGCCCCTTGTTTGCTATAGGCCCGTTTGACAGTTTGTACTCCAATGCATCAGTTAGCGTCTTAGATCGGTCAAGGCGTATTCGTTGTTGAGTGTCATTGTCCCGAAGTCCATCAGTAAATGCCTCCACTGTCAACTTTTTTTGGAGTATTAGGATGGGCCAGTTGAGACAGTCTCGCAATATCGGCCTCGAATTCGATACACCGCTGTTAAATGAGCCTCGCCGTAGCGCAACTCTAACCGTTTTATCAACTGTTCATAATTCGCCAATTCTTCCGGGGAAAGGCTGTTCAAAATGTCACATGCATCTCTACGAAGCGCAACGGTCAACGCAGTGGCTTTTTCTTCAGGCGCCCAGTCATTCGCTTTAGCAGCCGCCTCGAATTGCTTGTGGTATGTGGTCCATGAGGACTTTCCGTCAAACGTTGGTGCTTTTACTCGTGTTCTTGACTCTATACCGCTTCCTTGGCTGATTTTTTTATCTTTCCATTAAAAATCAATTCTTTCAGTACTTTTATCTTCTCTTCTGTTTCTTGAATATTCTTATAAAATTTTTCTTCCCGTTTACTGTTCTACTATATTCTTCCAATTCACGTTTCAAACTTTTTGTATTGTGTTCCAGTTTTTCTTCCAATTTATTTTCCAAACTTACTGTTTCCTTACAATTTATATTCCAAACTTTTGCTGTTTTCTTCCAATTCACGTTTCAAACTTTTACTATTTTCTTCCAATTTTTCTTTCAATTTATTTTCCAAAGTTTTCGCCATTCAATTTATTTCTTCCACTTTCGGTAATCGTCTTTTCCTTTAAATACTCTTTTGTTTACTTTCGGGAACCTTCTGGAAACATCCGGATAGTTAATTTTTTATTTGAACTGCTTAACTGCTTTCCCAGGACGCAGATACGACACACACATTTACAAATACGGAGCACATAAAGAAAGACTCCCGCGGCTAGTCGGCGAATCGATAAGCCGTTCACGCTCACGTGTGCCCGATCGCACACAAACACACTTGTGCTCGCTACAGTAGCAATTGGTATTGAATTAAATAAATTGTGAATTACGCAATGCAGTACTTTTAATATTCATTCCTTCAATAAGAAATACTTAAATAAACTTATGGTCAGACAGTCGATGATTATTTTGTAAAATTGTTACTTAAAGGCATACATGTTATCTTATATAGATCCGGTTTTATATATTTGTTGCTGTAATTTACTTATAACTTAATGTATCGTTTGTCATCACTGCTAATTAAAAAAGAGAAATTTTGGAGGTGAAATAATTTGTGTTTTTAGGGACCAGCTCATCAGAAAATATTTACAGTACAATTGAGGTTAGGAAATGAAGAATATGAGGGGATTGGTAATAGTTTAAAGGAAGCAAAAAGAATAGCTTCTGCAAAAGCATTAAAAAACACCAAATATGAACATCCACCTACAAAAAATATCGAGATTCAGTTACGTGAATTAGCAAGTAAGAGAAATGAAGAAGTGGTATTTACAAATGAATACGGACATCAAATTACTTCATCGAAGGTAAATTTTTATCATACTTACTTTTATATATAATCGTAAACACAAGTTTTAAGAGAAAAGAATGACCAAAAACTATTTTGTTAAAAAATTATTTGAATGATATTAAGTTATATTTGTATTTATATCTTTTAGTATCTCATTGAAAATATTAGTGGATTGTCAAACAAAAATTATTTGTTCTATTGAGAATGATGAATTGTAGCATAAGCAAACACAAGTGTGATTTTTTATGCAAAAATTAAAGTATACTCTTTTTTTACGTATTAAAACGATAGGTACTTACTTAACAACACGTCTTGTGCATTTTGGATTAAAATATTTTTTTAAACGAAATCCTTCACCGTTATTTCCGGTTTTCACGGGAAATTTGCCTATCCTATATTTCGAGACTATACTTAGTATTTTAAATAAGGAGACTCATTTTACTTTTGCATCCACATTATACATTGGCAGACATGTTCTAGTCATAGTTATAAATTCAAGAAAGTAAAGTGGTAATAAATTGCAAGGAATGCTCTCGGTTGATTAGGATGGTCCTAAAACGCGCGAATTCGTAGGCATCATTGCGCCTTCTTTCTTTTTCTGCGACCTCATTGTATGCTTTTATGTTAAAATTTGATTCAGATATAATCGTTCAGTTGGCTCTTTTTTACCGTATTTTTATGATACTAATAAACATATTTGTTCAAATTTCAAAAAGCGTATCCCATTTTTATAGGATTGTCTTTGAACCAATTTTTTATTTACATGTCGCCTCAAAATACAACAGATAATTAAGTGGAACGTATGATGTAAACATGTCATGGTCATGCGTTACTGAAAACGATGTAACCTAAAGTTTTCGGACGTGTATAAAAAAAAAACAAATTTAAACTTTCTTTAACAACTGTAATAGCCAGCCAACTTTTAGGGCCCGAGGTCCCTCTTTTAGGTACTCCTCCCCCTAAGGCCCCCTTGATATATTGCTCTGTAATAATTCTCATTGGGTGCTCCGTTGCTGCTATGGCTTCCATTCGTCGACTTGAACGTTGCCCCCTCGTCATCATTAGATGTAGCTCCACTACTATTGTTCCAAGGTGCTGCTGCTGCTATTATCTGATTTTGAATATCCCATTATTGTTGTCAATATAGTTGTCCCCGTTTTCCTGTCTACAGTTTATCCCCTCTCACCACCAGTTAATTGCTGCCACCATTGTTGTGTTTCATTATTTTTTATCTGAAGAAATAGATTATGGACAGGGTCGGATCCCAGTCAAATTAGGTATTTTTGATGATATACTGACGCGTAAACTTCTGTGCCGTACAGGGAGTTTTAAATGCAACGGAAACATGAAGGTCGATAAAGCAAAAATTAGAGTAAATAGATAGGATGCGTATATGCATCTTAAAACATGATCATATTACGTCATAGGAGCATTTATTAGATAAGCATGTACCTAGTTAAGTTTATATTATCTGGAAGTCATTTTTTGAAAAAGTTAAACTTGAAATAATTTTATTGAGATGGAAGCTAACAAAAGGAGTAGCAATCAATATCTAACTCTAAAAACTAAATCATAAAAGGTCTAATCTAAATCTAAAGAAAAATCTATCTAAAATTACTGTGTTAGCAATGGTTCAAACGCTATATGAATTATCGTTGTTTTCATGTAAAGACGAACCACCTTATTACCTAAGCAATGCATATGACATTACTCCTTCTCTACTCTGATTGGATACGCCTTCGTCCAATATTGTTGAGTTGCTGGTAATTCGGAATTTTCTTGCGACTGTGTTTACAATACATAAATTTTTAATTTGAAAATTACAAACAAAATCAAAATAACAATTATTATTGTTATTAAAACATTATGAAATATTGCTTCCAGAATAATTTCTTTTATCTACTTAAATTATACATTTAAATCGTCCACATTTAACAAATGTTTATTAATTGTAATTTCCTTATTAAGGGGTTTTACTGGAATTACAAATAATGAGAAATTAAATACATCGTTTGAAAGTATACCATCATTAATTAAGTGAAAATAAATTGGTGTTCAAGAACAGTTTTAACTTCCTTAAAATCTATAAGAATAGCGGAATTCTCCTTTGTATAGAGTTCGTAATCACTCAAGCAAAATTGCACTAGGTAGTTCAAATTCAATAAATTGCATTCCTAATAATTTTCACTGATTTCACAAAAAGTAGGGTACTTTCTTTTTTTATTCGAGGGATAAATATGTTCAAGATTAAAAGGATTTTTGTTTACGTTAAGAATTGATAAAATATAGACGAAATGAATGACAATGGCCGGGTTACGGAGAAGGGAAACAGTGACTGTGCGATTTGTTTGATTTTTTATCTTCTTAATCTTTAAATTCGGTGCACATAGAGTGGCTGAAGGCGAACAACATAGTGAATAATCAAGGTAATATATCTAGAATAAACGCGAATATAATATGAAATTTACCCTCTATATATTGAAGGTATACGTTAATTAACCTCTTTCAGAATAAAACATATTAACCTATGCCAATAAAATGGAGGGACGGATAACGAAACTGCAGTGTATTTTGTCTAAAATAGATTATATTTTCTGAAAATAAATAACTAAGGAGAAGAAAAAATTATATCTAATATATACTATTAAGATCCAGTGAACGAACTTATATTTCGTTGGTTTGGATCTAGTTCGATTTACTACTCAATGTTTATATAGATTTACAATTACGAACGTTCAAGTTCACATAGCAATTGCAATAACTATAATTGACTTCTCAAGCTAGAAGGAACTCAACAACTACTACAACAACACCACTTAGAAGAATAGTAAATTTATTATGAAGCAGTAAGTTAAGTTAAGTAAATACAGATATATCGGCATTAACATCTTAAGAAACAGAAAAGATGGGCTGAGGGTATATTGACTTTCAGTATATCACTTTAGCCCCTTGTGTTATCCTTTGCGTTGAAACACAGAGGATCCTATAGTTATATCATCATCATAAGGTCATCAGTCCTAAGACTGGTTGGACACGTACCTCCACTCTTTCCTATCCTGAGCTAAACTTCGCATTTCCCTAAAACTTGAACATCCCACATCCTTAACTATTTGCGAAGAGTAATCTAATCTAGGTCTGCCTCTACCTTTCCTAACTCCTGTTTCTGCCTCTAATATGTCTCTGACTAGACCTTCATGCCTGAGAAGGTGTCCTACCAACCTATCTCCCCTATTTTTTATTGACTTCTATAGAGTCCCCTGTTCTCCTATTCTTTCCAATACCTCTTCATTTCTAACCTTTTCTACCCACGATATCCTCATCATCCGCCTATAACACCACATTTCGAACGCTTCTAACCTTTTCTTTTCCGCCGCTCCCACCGTCCATGTTTCGCACTCATACAACGCCGTGCTCCAAACATACACCTTTAACAACCGTTTTCGAATTTCTAAATTAACGGTTCGCGAGCATAGAAGTGACTTAGTTATATAATTTATATAAAATGAAAAAATTTCCTATGCTAAATGAGAAATAAATTATTCTTAGTCCTGGAAAATTCCTGTGCAAGCATTATGTGGTCAGCCTTTTCAGTTTTGACATTGATTGATCCATTTCTTCCCCACTTTGACTATCCATACCTGCTTTTCCGAAAAAGCAGTTATACAATTTCGTTCAATACTGATTTATCGTACATGCTGTAATTGATCAATTCGTTGCTTGGAAATATCAAGGGATATAATAATAATTTGGCTACTTGTAGGGGTGAATACGTCTGTATAAGATAAATGTGTTATTTTTAAGTCTATTAACTGAAATTCAAGTGTTTGCAAAGTAAAAAATTCAAATGTATAGCTGGAGCGACATACCTCTCGAGTCTTCGGTGTTGGGGGCAGTGGTGATAGGAGGCTACGGCGATGATGGCAGCGGAGGTATTTTTTTAAGTGAGTGACGGTAAACGGAGCACCACAGATTCAACGCGTAGGTATGCTCTAAACGGCCTAGAAACTCGTTCAGGACGGCCAATGGATTTGGGGCAATTTGAAATTACCCTAAAGAGGAAGATGTCTTTGCCAGTTTGCCTGGACTTGATGCGCCATGCGTTTTTGGCACTGGTTTTTTGCTCTTTAAGGGCGGTTAAGATATAAGTAGAGGATATGTTCAGGTCTAAGGAGCGGATGATACAAGAGAAGACAGGTCTAGCGATTGTTGGCTTGGATGTGGTAGGGGATTTGGATGATTGGTAGGGTTGGATTTTCATGTTTACGGATAAAAGAGCCTTGAGAGGAGAAAGTTCTTTCAAGTTCGGTCATAGTTCAGCTTATTCAAATGTCATAAGTGAGAGCTGTTAATGGTTCGTTAGTGCGTTCTTATCAATTGAATAGTGAAATAATCTGAAGTTATTGATCAGTGCCGCAATTAAGGGTCTGGCCTTAGGGCCAACCACAGGCTAGTTTTAAAATGGAAAATACAGTAGACGAGAATACTGCGCGCAGAATAGAAGAACTTCAAAATTATCTCAAACAAATAATTGACGAGCTGGCAAATTACGGACTTAGAATTAAGTTCGTAAAAGATGATGGAGATACAGAAACAAGGGGAAACGATGGAGATGATACAGAAAAAGTAAAGAAAAGGAAAAAAGAAAAGCTCAGTGACCTTGGCACGTCGGATACACAAAATACAAGGCAAAAAATTAATAGTGAAACGGTTAAAACAAGGAATAAATTTGAACCCTTGACAGAGGGAGAAGAAGTTTTTGTACCGGATCAAAGTGATAAAATGTGCACCAATAGTGAAGTTAACATTGAAGTTAAAACCACCGCCGCCGATCACTGCGAGAACAGAAAACACTAAAATGCTGGTAGAATTACTAGAACTAAATAAAATAAAAACAAGACAGCCATTAAAATGTGTAAATTCAGGGACAAAAATATTTACAGAGAACAGCGATGACTTTAGGAAAACAGCAAATATTGAATACTTCACTTACCAGCTGCCGGAAGAAAAAGAGCTAAA